ACATAAATGGCCTCTTCCACACCTCTTTTAAACAAGTCCTCCTCCCTGTCTAAGGACTGATTTAAAAGAGGTGTGAAAGAGGTCAACTATGTATAAATGAAGAAGCTAAACTTGAATGCTGTTTTAACACTTCTCTCTGGGCAGGTTAATAACTCCTAGCTCCAATTATTTCAAGTAAAATACAGCAAGTCCAGTTGCCTTGACTTATTTTTTACTGATATACCATGACCTGGATGAATGAGAACCTTCACAGATAAAATGAATGTTTTTTTTTTTTTTTTTGTCCCTCCTTTTTATATTGCCAGTGTGGCAAAGGATTCATTCACATGGGTGTGAAAGGCTGTACGTCTCCCAGATCAGCGTATTTGTGGGGCAGGAGCCCAGTGTTTACCTTCATCTGCAGGCAGGAAACCTGTACAAGCCAGTGACAGGCTGTCACTGTGCGTGTCCACAGCCGCTCATGTGTCCCTAACTGCAGATTATTGCTCCTTGAGTGATTGTATGCGGAGAGTGACAGCCTGTCATCGATTTGTACAGGCTTCCCATCTACAGCTGAGAAAGGAGGGATACGTGAGGTTTATTCATAATGTTATCATGTTAATTGTTAACCGTGCTATCTTTTGTTTCAGTGTGTTTAAGGATCCAGATTAACCCCCAAAATAAAGGCGATTTCCTGGGAATCTCTCCAGAAAGAGCCTTTGCTGATTTTCTGTTCGCCAACATCATTCTTCACCTGGTTGTCGTAAACTTTGTTGGATGAACTGTATGCCCACCCTTTTCTAGTAAGGTATGTATATTGTAAGTGTGACCTTAAAATAATCTGTGAAATTATGCCATTTTTATCTGAGCAATAGGATTAGTGAAATACCAATTCATGGCTGTCCTATAGGGCTGAAACAACTCAACGATAAAATCGATAATGAGAATCGTTATCAACAATTCTCATTATCGATTAACTGTTTCCCCCGCCGTCGCTCTGCTCCTCCGTTCTCCGTTCTCCCTGCTGGCGCTGGCTGCAGAGGTCTGTCCCCCTTTCAATCCTCGCTTTTCTCCCCGCCTGTATGGGCAGAGGTTGCGGTGGCTCTGGATTCCCCAGGCTGCCTGCATCGTTCCTCCTCCTCTGCCCCCCTCTTCTGCCGGTGTGTTCTCTCAATCCTTTGGACTTGAGTCCGAGGTATTAATAGAACACTGGTGTCAAGTCTCCCATCAGCGGCTGGAAACAATAGCCAGCCTGCTGTTGGATATTTTAAATTGCAATAGCAGGCTGGCTATTGCACCCGTCATTTGCCTGCTGTCAATCAGCAGAGGAGGACCTGAAGGAAAACTTGATTGATTGACAGCAGACAGTGGGTGAGTGCAATAGCCAGCCTGCTATTTGCTATTGTAATTTGAAATAGCCAATAGGAGGCTGGCTATTGCTCCCAGCCACTGCATACTATATTTACATTAAGCTGCCTCAGCAGGCAGCTGTCATTTCCCCAGTGAAGTGGAAAGGTGACACTAGGGGTCTAATAGACCTCCTAATGTCACCTTTAAAGAGAACCTGTCATCTCAAATGTGCTATCACATAAGGGGCTTGTGAGCCCCCCCCCCCTTCCATGTGATAGCAACCAAGTA